TATCATGATATGTGTAAGTTCAAAACCTAACACTATAAATATTATTGAGTTGAGTTCTACAAATATATTCTTCTATCTTTCAGTTCTTGGGAAAATTCGACATCCTGTTTTGATTTTTATTGTTTGAAAATTGGTAGAGAAAAGTCAAAGTGGGAGTTTCTCCATGGCCAACAGCCCCTTCTGTAACAAATTTCCCCAGGTGGCGCATGCAGAAGAGAACAATGCCCATCGGAAACAAGTGATCGTCTCACAGGATGAGAAAGTTGTGATGGAATTTGCAAGGAGGGTTGACATAGTTAGTGTTTGAGTGTATTGGATATGCTTTAATGGAGACTTGATACAAATCTGGAAAATACCAGAGAATTTGCAAAGAATGATGATGGAATTAATTTCTAGAATTCCTCACTCAAAGCATGAGTGGTTTGTTACCATTATACATGGAAGAGGAAGGGAGATCCTTCACTCATCAAACTGAAATACAATCTCAACCCTTAATTGCTATCACCCTATGAGATGATGCCACTTGTCTTAATCTATCATTTAAGCTACATACAAAAGAGAGCTGCAACATGAACTATGATCCAATTGCCTAGATTTAAACTGAAAACAACTATTAAAATAAAGCATTTGAATTGTTTCTTTGGCTCCAAGTTTCGGCTGAAGGGTTACACACCAACATTCCTCTCTAACCCTTTAGCTTATTTAACTCCCAGAAACTCCCTTAGGTAGCAAATCAATCTTTAGGTAAGGCTTTAGTAAGGATGTCTACAATTTGCTCTTCATTCTTGCAATACACCAGTTCAATCTCCTTGGCTTGAATTGCTTCTCGAATGAAATGAAATTTTCTGTTGATGTGTCTAGTCTTTTGGTGAAAAACAAGATTCTTTGCCACAGCAATGGCTGATGTATTATCACATATAATTTGAGTTCCTTCCACTTGTTCTTCTCCAAAGTCTTTAAGCACAAATCTCAGCCATTTTGCTTGAGAAGTAACTTTTGCAGCATTTACATATTATGCTTATGATGTGGACAATGCCATTGTGCTTTGCTTGATTGATGCCCATGAGAACACACCAAATCCTAGTGTAAATGCATACCCTAAAGTGCTCCTCATATCATCCTCACTCCCTGCCCAGTCACTATCATAGTAACCAATTAGGGTAGTTGCCTTCCCCTTCTCAAAGACAACTCCAAAATCAATTGTCCCGTGAATGTATCTCAGCACCTTCTTTGTTGTTCCTATGTGTTTCTTGTTGGGATTATGCATAAACCTTGCCAACAAACTTGTTGCAAACATTATATCAGGTCTGATTACTGTTAAATAGAGTAAGCTCCCACAAGCTATCTATATTCTCCCTCATTTGCAGCTTCACTTTCATCAATCTTGCTCAATTTTTCATTCACTGCAAGTGGAGTAGCCACTATTTTACAATCTTTTAACCTAAACTTCTTAGTTAACTTCTGTGCATACTTCTTTTGGTGTATAAAAATGTTCTTCTCAGTTTGTAGTACCCCTATTCCAAAGAAATGGTGTAACAAACCCAAATCTATCATCTCATAGTGCTTCATCATGTCACCTTTAAATTCTTCAAGCATTTGTGGACTGTTGCCAGTGTATACAATATCATCTACATATAAGGAGACAATAATGATAACTAAATCCTCCCTTATTTTAACATACAAGGTTGCTTCACTTGAGCTTTTCTTGAAGCTTGCATTGTTGAAATAGGCATCAATCTCATCATACCAGGCCCTTGGTGCTTGCTTCAATCCATACAGTGCTTTGTTCAACTTATACACCTTAGTCTCTTCATTATCCTTCACAAAACCTTATGGTTGCTTAACATACACTTCTTCCTTCAGCACTCAATTGAGAAATACATATTTCACATCCAATTGATACTAACTCTATTCCTTTTGTGCAGCAAATGCAATCAAAGTTCTTACGGTATCCAACCTTGCCACTAGGACAAAGGTTTCATTATAGTCAATTCCAAGCTTCTGTGAGTAGCTTTTAGCCACCAATCTAGCTTTATTTTTTTTTCACAATACCATCTAGATTGAGTTTGATCTTATAGACCCACTTAACACCAATGACTAGCTTGTCAAATGGTCTTTCAACAAGCTGCCGGGTATTATTCTTCTCTATCATTTCCAACTCAGCTTCCATTGCCTTTCTCGATGAGTCATCTTTGGTTGCATCATCATAACTTTCAGGTTCAATAATACACATATTGCACTGAGCCATTATTTCACTCACACTTCTCCACTTTTTAGGTGTATTATCATATACTTGAGACCTGTCAATCACACTTTCACCTTGAGAAGTAATGGGTTGCTCAGAATGAGAACTTTCACCACTTTCACATATGACATTAACATTTTGATACTCAGTAACAACTGGAAATCTCACTTCATTATTTGTAGTGCAGTTCCAATCCCAGGAAGCATTCTCATTAAATGTAACATCCCTTGATAGAATGATTTTCCTTGAAATCGGATCAAATAATCTGTAGCCCTTCTCACTAGCACCATAGCTTACAAAGATGCATTTATGGCTATTTTATTCCAATTTGTGTCTGAGATTAGAAGGTATGTGCACATAGCAAAGTGAACCAAAGATTTTCAAGTGAGCTATCCCTGGTTTTCTTCCACTATATGCCTCAAATGGAGTTGTTCTCTTCAAAGCTTTAGAGGGACATCTGTTAAGCACGTAAACTGCAGTGTTCACTGCTTCTGCCCAAAACACATTGGAAGATTCTTTTCATGTAGCATTGACTTTGCCATTTCCACCACAGTCCTATTCTTCTTCTCGGACACTCCATTTTGTTGAGGAGTATAGGCCATAGTCAATTATCTTTGGATCCTTAGATCACTGCAATACTTGTCAACTTCTGCAGAAATGAATTCTCCTCCTCTATCACTCCTGAGATATTTCACCTTATAACCACATTGTAATTCAGTCATTGCCTTGAACTTTTTAAAACAATCAAGTGCATAAGACTTATATCTTAGAAAATACACCCATGTCATTATTGTGCAACCATTTGTGAATAACAGAAAGTATTTGTGTCTAAAGTGAGATTTAACTTGCATTGGACCACAGATGTCTGTGTGGATCAATTCCAATGGATTCTTGACTCTCCAAGTTGATTAAGAGGGAACTGTGTCCCTATGTTGTTTTCCCATCATGCAACCTTCACATACACTTGTGGACATTTCCAAGTGAAGCAATCCATGCACCATTTCCTGTTATTCAAGTAGTTTGAGACTTCTTTCATTCAAGTGTCTCAATCTCTTATGCCAAATAAGAGAGCAATGTGTGACACTAGCTCTTAGTGAAAATTGATTTGCAGGCATCATTGTCAAGGGGAAGCATCTATTATTTGCCATTAGTACTCTAACTACCAAGTTTTCAAGTGACTAGCCATAAAAAATATTCACTACATTTCCTCCAAACAACAAGTGGTACTCATGCTCTATCATTTGTCCAACACTGAGAAGATTCTCTTCAAGTCCAGGCACAAACATCACTTCTTGTATATGTTTTTTTTCCCAATTTAGTCTTTATCACCAAAGTTACCTTTCGTGCTACCTGAACAATTTCCCCAGTCCCCATCTTCACTTTAGAAATCAAATTTCTCTGAATATTGACCAATAGCCTCTCATCACCTGTCATGTGGTTACCACAACCACTATCAATGTACCATGAGTTGTTTACTTTCACATCTGTCACTACATTACAAGCATAGAACAAGGATCTTGTTTCTCCCATTTACCTTGCATAATTAACATTTTGCACTGCCTTATTCTCATGACAATCCTTCACAGCATGACCTGGTTTACAACAACCTTACCCTCATACCAACACTTCCCATAATGAAACATGTCCCACCATTTACAATCTCCCTGAGTGTTATTCTGCCTCTAAGTCTAATTAGGCATGTGATCCCAATTTCTTTGAGCATTGTTTTGTTTATGGACAAAGTTAGGCTTGTGATCCCAACCTTTCCCTATTGGCTTCCAATTCTTTTAAAAATTTTTATTTCTAGAGGATCCACCACTTTTAGGACCCTTAGTTGCAACATTTAAAGTTGCAAATACTCTCTCAGTGGAGGTTTGAGCATGCAAATCAAGCCTCTGCTCAAGTCCCTTGAGTGAAGCAACAACTTCTTGGACCTCAAGGATTTCGAGATCTCTAGAGTGCTCAATCACATAACAAATTGCATCATATGTTTTTGGAAGACTAATTAGTAATTTCTGCACAATTCTCTCCCTAGATAGTTATTCTCCATAACTTCTCATTTGATTAGTGATATCAAATAATCTAGTGAGATACACAAATAAAGATTCATTATCCTTCATACGAGTATACTCAAATTCTCTACGTAACCCTTGCAATTTTACACTTCTTACTTGTTTATCTCCTTGGAATTCACTCTTCAGGACATCCCAAACTCATTTGGACGTTTCTTCATTCACGATTTTGGGGAAGATCTGATCCGAGACAACTCCCTGGATTATCCTAAGCACTTGAGGATCTCTCATCAAGGTTTCATTGAATGGCACCTCCTCCATCGTCTCCTTCTTCGTCTCATCAACCATAGTCTTCTTATCCTTCAGATGTGGAGGTTCAAACCCATTCTCGACCAACTCCTAGAGACCATACAATTTTAGTATAGTCGTCATGCGAATCCTCCAAAACTCGTAGTTCTCTCCATTGAAAACAGGAACTATAAGCTCAGCAGTGCTTGATCCAGCCATGTTAGACTTAGATTCAAGAAATCACAGTTTCCAGATTTGATTTGAGCTCAAAATGCAACTCAATTGCACTCACAGATTTCATGCCCAATTTAGACGATGAAACCTAGCTCTGAGGCCATGTTAGTGTTTGTGTGTATTGGATATGCTTCAATGGAGACTTGATACAAATCTGAAAATACCAGAGGATTTGCAAAGAATGATGATGGAATTAATTTATGGAATTCCTCACTCAAAGCATGAGTGGTTTGTTAACATTATACATGGAAGAGGAAAGGAGATCATTCACTCATCAAACTGAAATACAATCTCAGCCCTTAATTGCTATCACCCTATGAGATGATGCCACTTGTCTTAATCTATCACTTAAGCTAGATACAAGAGAGAGCCGCCACATGGACTATGATCCAATGGCCTAGATTTAAACTGAAAACAACTATTAAAATAAAGCATTTGAATTGTTTCTTTGGCTCCAAGTTTCGGTTGAAGGGTTACACACCAACAGACATTCCCGTCAATAAAGTGAAAAAATTTTGTCAGCAACAAGGAAGAGCAAAAAACAAGTGTGTCGTAATATCACAAAACCCATTACAGTTTTAGACCCTTGGAATAACGGGCTGATTGTGAGGACTGACCTTAATACAAAGGATGGGATATGGTTCAGAAAATTTCTCGAGCGCCCCGAAAACCAGCCTCATCGTATAGATGCTTGGCATTTGAGGAAGACGTGCGCAATTTTAATACCTGTGGCTGTCGAGAAGGATGCTAGGAGTGATATTCCTGAAATTAACAGGAAGAAATACCACGTCCCTGGTAATATGACCCTTGGAGAATTCATCTTATTCATTAGGGTCAGTATCAGGATAAGCAAGAAAAAGCCGATATTTGTCTCTTTCAAGAACACTAAACCTCCTGTTGGTGCTTTGTTTTATGAAATCGATGAGGAAAATAAGGGTGAAGATGGATTTCTTCACATTACCTACAGTGGTGAAGAGAATGCTTGTGGATCAAATCAAGAGCAAGAACACGGGGATGAAATCTCAATCGAGAAGGAAGCCGCAAACAATCCACATGCAACACCAACAGGAATTCCACTGAAGCAGAACATAATTCTCGTGAAATCTGCATGCAAGGAGGATTGATAGTATTCCCGACAACAATTCCATTGAACCTGCCATGGGTGCCTGGTTATCTGCAATCAATGAGAGAAATAAGGATAAGTCGTATTTCTTCACATCAGTCGGAAAGGAGGAGAATGTTTGTGAATCATCCAAGGAAGAGCGAGAATGCATCAAGTTGAAGTACTTAGTTTTATGAAATGCATTGGGACTGTAATATCTGTGTGTGATAATGTTATCAGTTAGAAATGAGTTGGGGGCTCTATTACATCTGTATCCCTTGAAACTCAACCCGAGTTAGAGTAACTGCGTTTGTATTTAACTCTAAACTCTATTCCGACCCTAACTTTTTCCGTGTATTATAAATGTCACATCCCGATCCTGAAATACATCTAGAATCAACACATGACATGACATCAAGCCGTATTGGGACAATCACGTAAAACTAGCTAGATTTCGTGCTTCATAAAATACAAACAGAAGGAACCTAATCAACAAACCAATAGCCTCACAATGCGAAGTACCAAAAACAATCAATGATTTAACAACATAGCCTCCACTCATTTATTTTACTACATATATATAATCAGGGTAACCATTATGAACTATATACCTTGTTCTTTATAGCTGACTAGGCATATGAAACACAAATGCATATAACTTCAAATTCTCATATCTTCTGTTATATTTCAGAGTCTTCCTAGGTCTTTCTCTACTTCTTGTATTATGCGCCTCCATCTCATAGTTCGCATCTTTTGACCGGAGCATTTGTAGGTCTTCGGTTTCCGTGTCCAAACCATCTTAACCGATTGTCTGTCATCTTTACCCAAGAAAAACATTCTTGCAATCAAACATAATCCTCGCATCATCACTCGTCCAATAAATGTTTTTCCAAAAAGGATTCTTAATAAAAGTCATTGTTTATATAACTTGCTAATTACACATTGAAGCAGAACCGACTAATTCAAGCCTTACCATCAAATGAAGCAGACTGCACACATCTCATAAGTTTCAAACATTACAAGGGAAGAGTCTTTCTTTAAATAGGACGTGGAAATGTGAAAAACAACTAAACCACATAAAGAGCTTGTTCATCTGATCGTGCCGGAAGCAATAGCATCACATAGGACATCCTCCCTTCTTTCCATTTCTTTCCTCGTCTACTTTCCTTTTCTTTTCGCCCCGCTGTTCATCCTCAAACTCCAAATCTAATACCCTCTTCATGACGCCTTTCTCAGGACTTGTCGAAAAGGATTGCATCGGAGATACCTCAACTTGCACGTCCTCCCTCAATTGCACTGCGGAGCATGGACTTCCTTGATTGAGCTTTTCTTTGAGTTCTCGATTTTCCTTGATCAGCTCCATTTTTTCTTTCTTTAGGTTTTTCACCGCTTCCCTTTCCGCTTCAAGAGTTTCTTCCAGCATTTTCACCAACCTCTTCAGAGAATCAAACAATGATTTCTTTTCAGAAGTTAAGACCTCATTTTCCTCTTTCAGCTTTCTCTTTTCCTTCTTTTCTTCTTTTAGTTTCCTCTTCAACTTTTTTGTTTTTTCCTTCTTACTCTCCAACTTTTCAGTTAGCCTACTCACTTTTCCTTGATCAGCACTTGCATTCTGAATCACTCTCCAAACATCTTCTGATCTTTCTTCCAAGTCCTCATTGTCATTTAACCTTTTCGAAATAGGGGGTTCGCGGACGAATTTCATTTTTCTCTTTCGAGCTCGGAGATGATCTTCCGATTCGCCCACTGTATCACCAGTCACATTTTCCCATTCTTCTCGTTCTTCTCGTCCATTGGTTGTAATAGCTTCTTCGCGTGCTTTTTCATTTTCTCCTAGTTTCTTCCTCTCCTTGTCCTTCTTAAAGCTCAACTGCACAGTTGAATTATCCAAACAAATACGATATCAGCATCTGCAAGCAATACCTAGCAATAGAGTACTCGCATTTGTACACCAATTACAACTACCCTCAGTACCCCGTCCTATATAACAGTTAGTATGCAAATGCTAACATAAAGTACGAAAATTTACAGAAGACTTACCCCAATGTCTGCGACATGTACTCGTTTAAGTTTCAAGTGCAGTTCCTGCATGCTCCATTTTACGAGAGCTGGTTTCTGTCCCTCCCTTCCCTTGATTGGTTGTATGAGGTTAGTTCTCTCACACAACCAAAGCTGTTAGCATGAAAGTAAAAAACGATCACGATCACATATGAAGGCAATCTTGCATTAGGAAGATCTAATACGTAAGAGTACATCAATTACCATTATGGCAACCACGCACCCAGGAACAGAATATGGCTTGAACCGCCCGGTCCTTTTTTCCAATCCCTCGTGCAGAACGTCAGCCACAGCTTTCGCCCATGAATATCTTGAAATACTTTCTAAATCCTCACAATACTTGACTAAATTCCATGAAGTAACTTGGCCTGAGTTACATAACAAAAAGGTTATGCATAATTCTATCAAAATCAGGCGTACAACATCCTCTACGTCTGTTTCTCTTTTCCCTTCTATTGCTTCGTCCAAGGCTTTATCCACCAATGTTTTATACACTCTTTTGGCGTTAAAATATCTTTCGACAAAATCTGATTTGTAACTCCTTGATCCCTTTAACTTCAATTCTTCACCTTCTTGTGGAAGTCCCAAAATTTCTGCCATGTCTTCTGTCGTCAACGATGCAGATGTGCTACCAAACTGAAAACTCATTGTTCTTGCGTTGTAGCACTTGATAATGTTGCGGACATCACTCTCCGATTTCTTGCATTGATCTTCCGATATCACACCGCTGTAAAACGCGGATATTAATGGCCAAAAAGGAGTCTGTCGAAGCAACTCCAAGTGCCGTTCAGTTAAGTGTCCCTTAATTCGCTGCATTGTACTGAAAAACGACAGCATATTACATCGGTATTGTACATATTCTTCTCCTCTCCCCCACCTCAAATTTTCCATCTTGTTCTTCCCCATCTTCCTTCTTATCTGCTTCTGTATGCTCCTTCTGTAACCTAAACATATACACACACACACACAAATATATGTATATGTGTATATATATATATATATATGTATAGAAACAAGATTTACAAGAAGATTAAAATGCAAACGTTTAAAATTCCCTAATCCGAATTACCTGAAATTCTCAGAGCGTTATTTCCTTTAACCGTAGCAGTGCTACCTTCACCGCTATCATTGTTAGCAGCGGTATCACCACCGATTGCAGCCAACCGATCGCTCCTTCTTCTCTGCATGCTGTTACTCAAACCCTTCTTCCTCAATGTCTTACCGCCCTTCTCCAGCCGCGAAATGCGGCGCTCCAGCTCCTCGTTCTGCGTCCGGAGCTCCAAAATTACCTCTCTGCCCTCGCCGCCGTTCTCTTCGCTCACCGCCTCCGCCTTGATCGGTGAGAGCTGGAGCCTGAGCTCCTCCTCGGCTCTGAGCTTCTCGAGCCGCTCGAACTCGTGCTTCTCGTCGAGCAGCGCGTTCTCGTACCTCTGCTTCTCGATTTCTCGCCTCAGTTTCGCTTCCCTCGCCGATAATGCCTGTTCGACTCGGCCGAAATCCTTCGGCCGAGACGCCGCTCTCAGCGCCGAAAACAGGTCCGAGACGGTCGGATTTTCGGTTTCGGCTTCGTCGTCGTGGTCTTCAGAAGGAGGGGTGAGTTGTGTCCCGAACACCATTTGCAGGGACGCGAATCCGTGACGACCGAGTCGATTTCCGGAACGGGAGGGAAACTTTGAGTTTCGGATGAAGTGGAGAAGAAAGCGACGGTTTTCTAACCGAAAAAGATGGAAGCGATCCTGCTCCCTGCGGCAAGTGTCAGGAGTGTACTTCTGAGTAAACAAAGATGTCGCCACATGTTGTTAGAACGCAGGATCGTGCGGTCATGGTTAATTCCATTCTATAACTTTTTCTAGAAAATAATAACACACTCCTATTCTCATTCAACATTCAACATTATTGTTTTATATTGCGAGATTCATAATTTTTCACTTATATGTTTCAATTCAATCATTTTTATCATTACCGTTTGAAATTGCTAAAGCCTTTGTTAGTGCGTTCAGGCGGCATAATGTAGGACCAAATGTACTTTTATTATTGTTATCTGGATTAAAATTAAATTAATTACAAAAAATGTTCAAAGAATTACCATACCCTCACCGCCCTTATCCTCTGCCTAGACCTGACATTTTAGTATTTGGGTAAATGCTTAATGGGTCGGGTCATTAGTAGGTAACTGTTGAATCCTTAATCTTATTAAATAACGAGTCATTTTGAGTGAACTTGCGAAACTAATCATCACCCTTTAGCACACATGAGGACGTTTTGTGTAACTTCATAAATACGTAACAAAAGAAAACCCTCGTTGACTCTCTTTGCCTCGCACTGTCACACAACGCACACACTCTGCCATTTACACTCTAGTCTCTCTTTTTTTTTTTTTTTTTGTTAAACTAGATAATATTAATCTGGGCAAAGCCTGGAACGATGTCGAATCAAGCTCGGAAGCATCACGGCTTGAAACCTCCTTGAATTTGATAATAACTCCGTCGTCATATCTGATTGGATACAAAATCAAGGAACAATCAGAAAGTGTAAGAATCTGAATTAATTGAGCTCAATTCGTTGCAGATTTACAAAACTAATCGACATCATAAAACATAACGATTCGATACATATCTAGATAAGAAAAACGAACCAAAATCATATACGAACATGTAATACTGAATCGAACATTGTACAACACCAAATCGAGTTGGCCAAACAAGCTATTCAATTCAATAATGGCTTAAAGTTTTAACAACATAAAACCACCATTAGCAGGCATATGTCGAAATGATGAACGAGAATTCGATATAAACTATCAAAACAGATATCAAAATTGGGTTTGGGTGTTAAAGGGTGAAACATATGACCTATTAGCTTAACGGGCTGGTTGGGTGACCCGCTAGCTTAACGGGTTAGGTGTAAGTGATACGTTAACGAGTCTTACAAGTCTACCTCTACCCATCACTCCGACTGCAAATTACCCTGACTGTCCAACCCTTTCCTCGAGAATTCGACATCTTCCCAATGAGTATGTGCAAAGGAAAAAAGTATATGAAAGCCCTCTCTTTCTATCTAAATCTTTTCTCCTCTCCCTTTGTCTCTCATGTCATGCTCCAATTCAAATTTAATATTATAAGTTGCTCATCAATTCAATTTCATTACTAGATTTTTTTAGGATGGGGGCTATTGCTTGGTTGAATGGGTGGGACTTAATGAATTTTTTGCTTTATATTATTGCTGCAGGACAATATTCATGGCATGAAAAGTTGAATAAGTCTTCTTCAAGAGATCATATTAAGTCAAGTCCTTATTACATAACTTGAGAACTGATTAGATTCAATAAACTTCATAATTGTATTCATTCACAGACTTCAAGTCTTGGAAGCGTAAGTGCTGCTAGTTGTGTCTTGCTTCAAGCAAGAAGATATGTTTGTGGTGATCGAAATGCTTTGTCAGGGCAAGTCAAAGAGTGCATGGATCATCTTCAGCGAGGTATTCGGTCTACAATCCATCATGCATATGCCGTTTAATGAATACCATGGTGGTCATTTTGTTAGCTTCGTCAACTGGTTCATCCGTAGCTTTTCAATGTTGGCTCTGAGACTTTTGGAGGTGAGATCGAGCTTCACATATTAGACCCACTTCAGGTAGTTTCTTCTAGAAAGGTAAAGTCGAGTTTGTTCGAGTTCGACATGTCGTTGCAATGGAGAGAACAAGATTGTAGTTATTCTTATGGAAAATTAAATATCCACAGACATAAAGTAGAAAATTCAGGTTCTATAGACATGTTCTGGTTTAATTTACGTGAAAAAATTAATGTTTCATGGGTGTATGTTTTGCATGATTGTGAGGAGAAAGAAGAGTTATAAACCTATGGAATAACATGCTTGAAAAATATTCTCAAAAATGATGATTGGTCACGTGGTATGTTTCGCATAAAAGAAAAATGAGCTTTGGTCAGTTTTGTGCTGATACATCACCACCCAACGTAGCGAAAGAATGAATAGTTCTCTAAAGAGGTTTGCCAATTGCAAACATGATTTGCACATTTTTTTACTATTTTCAAAGACTAGTTGAGGATTGTTGTTATGAAGAATTAAAGGCCGACTTTAAAGCAAATCAAAGTTCTTTTGCATTGTCATTTTCCTTTGATATATTGAAGCATGCAGTGTTAGATCCCACATCACCCAGGGGAGTGGATCCTCTATGCTTTATATGTATATTTCCATCTTTACCTAGCACAAGGCCTTTTGGGAGCTCACTAGCTTTGGAGTTCATTGTTAAGCGAGTTCGCGCGAGAGCAATCCTAGGATGGGTGACCCACTAAGAAGTTCTCGTGTGAGTTCCTAGAAACAAAACCATGAGGGCATGGTCGGGGCCCAAAGTGGACAATATCGTGCTACGGTGGAGTCGAGCTCAGGATGTGACAATTTGATATCAAAGCCAATCCCTGGCCGAAAGTGTGCCGACGAGGACGTCGGGCCCCTAAGGGGGGTGGATTGTAACATCCCACATCGACCAACGGAGATGGAGTGATGTGCCTTACATGTACATGCCCACCTCTATATAGCATGAGGCTTTTTGGGAACTCATTGGCTTCGGATTCCATCTGAACTCCGAAGTTAAGCGAGTTCAGACGAGAGCAATCCTAGGATAGGTAACCCACTGGGAAATTCACGTGTGAGTTCCCAGAATCAAAACCGTAAGGGTATGGTCAGATGTGACAATTTGATATCAAAGCCAATCCCTGGCCGAAAGTGTGCCGACGAGGACGTCGGGCCCCTAAGGGGGGTGGATTGTAACATCCCACATCGACCAACGGAGATGGAGTGATGTGCCTTACATGTACATGCCCACCTCCATATAGCATGAGGCTTTTTGGGAACTCATTGGCTTCAGATTCCATCTGAACTTCGAAGTTAAGCGAGTTCAGACGAGAGCAATCCTAGGATAGGTAACCCACTGGGAAATTCACGTGTGAGTTCCCAGAATCAAAACCGTAAGGGTATGGTCAGGGCCCAAAGCGGACAATATCGTGCTACGGTGGAATCGAGCCCAGGATGTGGTAAGGGCCACGGCCGGGGATGTGACAATTTGGTTTCTGAGCCAATCCCTAGCCGGAAGTGTGCCAACGAAGACGTCGGGCCCTTAAGGGGGGTGGATTGTTATATCCCACATCGCCCAGGGGAGTGGATCCTCTATGCCTTATATGTATATTTCCATCTCTACCTAGCACGAGGCCTTTTGGGAGCTCATTGGCTTTGGAGTTCATTGGAACTTCAAAGTTAAGCGAGTTCGCATGAGGGCAATCCTAGGATGGGTGACCCACTGGGAAGTTCTCTTGTGAGTTCCCAGAAACAAAACCGTGAGGGATTGGTTGGGGTCCAAAGCGGACAATATCGTGCTACAGTGGAGTCGAGCCTAGGATGTGGTGGGGGCCCGGGCCGGGATGTGACACGCAGTTAGTGTTACACACTAACAATGTTCACTGTATTTCAGAATGAGCTATGTAAAGCTCATGATTATGCGTTGAACTTCTTAGGCAATAGTGGTACAATGAAAAAACATTACTTATAGCTTCCTGGTGGCAATAATTTAACCACAAGTTTGATTTTGTCTATGTATTTTTCAAAGATGATAATATTTTGTAAACGCATGGTAGAGTTTGAGTGAGTGAAACTACATGGGTTTAAAAATCAGGATTTCACTTAATTATCATGGTCTTGTGATATTTGTAAGATTATTAATGCAATTTCATGACCTTTTTCTCATGTATCCAATTTCATTGCTGCCAGAGCTGTTGGCATTTTCATTTATTTTCTTGTTGTGAAGGTGAAGTTTTCTATGTTTTAATGTGGTTGAATATCAAAGAACTGCGAACTTTAAAATTATGTACTTCACAGGTCAAAGCTTCCCATGGCTTGTAACAAAATACAACAATCACATCATGGCCATACAAAGTTATCACTGGGAATCTAGGAAATTTGAGATATTCACATCTTATTCTCGTAACAATTTGTGTTTGTTCAAAATTGCATCCGCTCTCCCATCTGATAATGTTATGCACCAATGGGGCGAACCACCTCAAAATCCCATCAACAATGTTCTTCCAATCATGCACAAGAGGCGCAACATATATGACTATACTTAAATGGTCCATAGCTTCCTTGTCAACTAGAGAAAGCCCCCATAACAGAAAAAGAAGCATAAATCCATAGCTTCCTATGACTGAAACCGCATCGTCTGTTCCACCACACTTCTATTGAAATTGAACATCCGTTTATACTCTAATAAAATCGTGCACCACCAACCGTTCCACCACACTTCGATTGATTGAACACCCGTTTTTTCTCGATTAAATCGTGCACACATTGGTGGTTTCGATGAACTTTTTGTGGTGTTCTCTGCACTTGTATTCTACTTGGTCATTTGCTGAAGGAGAGTCAATGGATAAATGACTCCATCACAACCCTTGTAATTGTGGGTAAGCTTTTGTTGTTCTATGTGTGCTCAAATCTTTGTGCATGGCTTTTTGTCTCCATGGTTTAGTGTTTGGACATAGAGACTGAGAATTTTGGAAGCTAAAGTGAGCAAAAAAGAGAGTCGCGACAGAGGGATATTTTTGAAGAGTCTAAGCGTCGTTTGTTTTTTGCAATTTTGTTTTTTTCAAAATTTTAGGAGATAATAGAGGTCTAGGGATAATATAAAGATTAACAGAGTTAAGATTAGTAAGTGAGTAAACATGCGTCGCATTTTTAGGGAGGCCACAGAGATACAACACTACTTTTTGGATGCATAAAAGGT